GTCCAGAAGACCTGTACAATTTTTTTCTTTTTGATTTTTTACCTGGATTACTGAGATGCATCAGGACATCCCTAGATAATATGTCTTTGAAGCTCTTGAGGGCAACATTTAGCCCGCGGGCCTTGAGTTTGACACATGGTTTATCAGTTAAATTTTTTACATGATATACAGATTTAGCTGGTTTTGTCCATCCAGCTGACCAAACATTTTTTATTTCAGACATAATTTACCAGCATTTCTGTCAATCTAAAACACATTTCTGCTCCTCTTAATTAAACAGGAGTGTTGGCAACAATCACAAACACCATTAAAATTCATTAAAAACCAAACTATATGTCTGTAAGTGACAATGGAAACTCACCCACTTTAAACTGAGGGGCGTAGCTGCAGCAGGTGACTCCCAAGTCATGGGCATCCTTGTGAGCGTGCAGGAGGCCGACGTGCACCTCCCACAGTTTGAGGTCTCCATGCAGCCGGTCGTGAACATCTGGCCACACGGGAGAGAAACAGCAGGCCACGACGCTGGCCTCGCTCACTGCGGAGCAGCTTTCACAGGAAACGGTTGGACAGGTTGAGTTCAAAGGAGYGAGACTTGATGTGAAATGTTCAGTCCTGGTCTGTGTCCCTGTTTAATCAGGTCAACTGAAAACACCTGGGAGAGTTTAAATCAGAGCAGCACAGCAGGATTCAGAGAGACTAAACCAAATCTTACAAATGGTTTAAGGATTTTCAGAAAACGCCTACTTATGTGGTTAACGCATTACATCATCATTGTGTGTTCTCTTTTAATAAAGCTTTACTTAATGAAGGACAAATAGGCCATGTTTCTAAACCACACCTGGCAACTTTACCAAAAACACAATTTAAGAGTTAGGCACTTACAAGTGATTTTTTTTCTTAAGTGATTTTCTGATGAAAAATTCCCAACGTTCTGAAGAGTCGGAGGAGAAACCTGTGACAGCTGTGTGACAACTCCATCTGCTGATGAAGATGAAAATGTTGCTTCAACTGTTAAGTGTAAAAGAAAAAAAAAATAAACCACAGTTCACAAAAGCTTCAGTTTTCATTTTCTAAAATATGTTTCAGCCATCAGTGTTTCACTGTGTTCCACAAAACAGTAAGAGTTAATTTAACTAAAATTGGAGAAACAAACTGTTACCTATTTCAGAGTTCCTTCAGTTTTAAGAGTAAACACTTTTCCAAAATGTTTGTATTTCTTATCTATACATTTAACATTTTCTGTATATACAGGAAATGCTTGAAAATTGGTCAGACTTAGAGCTGCAGTTTCAATGACAAGACTACAAAGTATATGATCCACCTGGAGTCATGTGCACTTATGGGCACCCTTACATATATCTGAAAAAACAAGATAAAAATGACCAGAACACATCAAAAGAAACTTAGTTTTGCCCAATTTGTTTTGTGAAATCTGTCCATAGTGGACAGTTTTTTCCCTCCAAATCACATCAGAACCTGGCGCTCCAGGGCTGCTACCCTGCATGGGACACTTGTTTCTCTGCTCCAGCACACCTGACTCAATCATTCTTCAAATTCAGCTCAAATTAATCACCTATTCATTAAAAACAGGTGTGTTGGAGCAGAAACGTCTAAAACATGCAGGACAGTGGGCCTGGGGGACCAGGATTTGACAGTCCCCGCTTTTATGATCACTTTATAATTTGTGACTTTTCCCAAGAATGACCTGTCTGGTTTTTTCTTAACCTAGAACTCAGAGAAACAAACAACCCCGCCAAACATTTAAACAATTGACAACAGAGAGACCAGTAAGTTTTTCGTTCACTTTGCAAAGAGGAGAAGTTCAATGATACTTAACTTCAGCTCAAGAGCTTGGTGAAGATCAGAGAAATTCTGANCAGAGTTTTGGAGGGGAAGTCCCATGGTTTACCTCAGATGTGTTGGGATGGATGAAGGCGCAGTTTGCTCACAAGATGGCGCAAAAAGCTCAAAATTGTCCTTAAAGCCACTCAGCTCTGAAACAGAGCAAAGATGCGCAGCTGGTAAAATGCAGCTCATTATAACCTCCCTGCTGCTAATAAAATCTGTTTTCATTTTTATGATGCAGTTACTCAATGTAAACAGTTGGGTTGTAGTTATAACTTAGCTATTTACAACCTGAGTTTTAATGCAGAACCCAGGGCTTTGGGACATTTCTATTTCTCACACTAAATCAAATTTAGCCTGAGCTGTAGAAACAGTACTGTTACATTATGAAATGAAATATTTATATTATATTATTCACTGGCAATCTTATGTGTTAGGATAAAATCTTGTTTGTAGACTACCTTTCTTTCTAAAGTAGCTTATCTGTAAGACATTTCTATATTAGAGGAAAGTTATCCAAATATCCCACTTTGAGCACAAACTTTCATCATCAGTTATGGTAAAATTTGGGTCAAGTTGAATACAGCAGGTAAAATAAGTATTGAACACATCACCATTTTTCTCAGTAAATATATCACTAGAGGTGCTAATGACATGAAATTTTCACCAGATGTTGGTAACAACCCAAGTGATCCATTCATACAAAGAAATCAAACCATAAATGTCCAGAAATGAAGTTATTTGTAATAATGTGGAATGGCACAGGGAGAAAGTATTGAACACACT